CACTCGCCGCGGCCGGCCAAAGTTACATTATCCGCGCGAAAAATAAAAGAGAGTCGCGGAGCTACTCTCGCCGCTTCATTAGCATACAGCTTGGCCCTTTCGCGCGCCACGTATGGGCCGCTCGTCATTAGCCTGAGACGCGATTAATAATTGCCCGAGACGGTTAACAGTCGATGCTTATTTCTTCATCGTGCGTGTACGCGCGCGAGTGAGGAAGGAAGGGGGAGGGCCACCCTTGGTTGCCTCGCTGGAATAATCGTTGGTAATTAGACCGTGGAATCGAGGCATCTTTATCACCCACAGGTTCAGAGGATTATCCCCTGGGTCGTTTAACGTCGCGTTACCCTTTTTCTTCCCCGTTTTCATTAACGGCTGACATTATATTTCACTCGCCGCCGTAATTCCAATTGAGATGGATCGCGGCGCGTAGATCTGTGCGCGCGGGTTTTTCAAACGTGATTGATGGGTTTAGAGGTTGGACGTGGAGGAAGGAGGAAGGAGGAAGGCCGAGTTATTAGAATCGAATTATTACGATAGGAAGGATATTTTTTTCTCTCCTTCTTCTTCTATATGAAATAAATGCGTGCATTATAATAACTCCGAGGAAGGTGTGATCTATAATTAAGTTGGAGTAATTGTATTGAGTTCGTGGGAAAGCTTGGCTTTTGATTTCGAGAGGATAAACAGTGATTTTAAATGAGTTGTATTTAATTCTCTTTACGAGGATGATATTTTATATCCGTAAAATTTTTTTTATCTTATTCTTATCTATCTAGGAATCAATATGGATTAAGCAATTATAGTAATTAAAAATAATTATAAGCTAAGTTTTGATTCATTTCTATAACGAATGATACGTTAAACATAGCAACTTAATTTATTTTCACGCTTATTATTCATATATAAATTTTACAAATTACTGCTACTTTTGATTCATTCTAATAAAAGAATTTATCTATTATCGATTCTATTTCATGTTTAAAAGTGAGCGTCGACAATGACAAGTTAAGAAAAAAAGAAACTGAATTTTAGAATTAATTAGAAATAATTAACAAATTTTAATTGATTTCACTGAAAGAAAAAAGAAAAAAACTCTCTTGAACGTAAAATTACAACAGACTCATAAACATTATCAAGAATGAAGAGGGAATCTAATCGCGAGGACTATGAATCGTGACGCGTCAAAGCCGCGTTCTATCATCGCGGAATCATATTATTATTGAAGCTCCACGATACGATCCACCGTGTCGACGAGGTAACACTTTGTAAAGGTGTCAGGTTTCTCAATTACCTGTTGCGTAACTCTTAATTACGATGCCGCTCGGCGTGCGATAATTCGTTACAATGTATGCTCTTGTGGCCGAGATGCAACCGCTACTTACCCACACGCGAATACACGTGTACACATATTCGACGAATTTTCGAGCCTCCGCGTACCATCCTTGAAGCGTTACAAGGACACCTCTGTCTAGATGCTATTATTCGCCAACAACGGTCGTGATTCGAAAAATAAAATATAACCGGATATGGTTGGC